TTATTGTGTCCAATGGGATACCCGATTCGAAGTCCTCATCTGTTAGTGATACTTGGTTTTCTTCTTCTGCCTCCACCACTCCTGACACTGCCGCTAACATGGGGTGCCCCTTGCTGTCGGCTAGTTTTTGTCTGTGATGGTACAGCATTATCCGATTTACATGGACCACCTTAGTACTGTCCGCTGTTTTAATAACATAGTCCAAGTCTCCGATTTTTTTAAGACTTCGTAAGGTCCCGCCCACCTTAGCTCTAGTTTGTTTAATAGTTGGGGCTTCAATATCAGCACATGATCCCCCACTTTGATATCTTTGGTTGTGGCTGATCTATCGTAGTAGCTCTTTGCTTTATCGTTCCCATCTTCTGATTTGCGGGTTGCATAACTGCATGCCGTTTGCAACTGCTGCTTAAGATCCAGCAGGTAGTCATATGCAGCTCTTGTCTTATATTCCCTCACTTCTCCTGTGAGGATATCCTTTAGGATGCTCATCGGGCCCCTCATTTTTCTGCCAAACATAAGTTCGAATGGCGGGTAACCAGTACTTTCATTTTGTGCCTCTCTGTAGGCGAAAAGTGCTGCTGGGATGAACACGTCCCAATCCTCATCCTTGTCTATAGCTACTTTCTTTAGCATTTCCTTAAATGTTCCATTCCATCGTTCTACCGCCCCGTTGGCCATGGCGTGATATGCAGAAGCGTGAATGATCTTAATCCCCAACATTTTAGACACGGTGCATAAAATTTCCGACGTGAACTGGGTCCCGTTATCTGAGAGTATAACTTCCGGGAATCCCATCCTCGTGAAGATGGAGAGTAGCGCATCTTGAATCTCTGCGGCCGTTACACTTTCAGCGGTACGGCTTCTGGCCACCGTGTGCATATGTCTACGGCTGTGAGTATGAATCTGTTCTTTTTTTTCGGTTGAGTTAGTGGCCCCACAATATCTACGGCGATTTTCTCAAACGGTTGTCCCACTACCTCAGTTCTACCCAGAGGCGCCTTGCCACCAACATTCTTTTTGCTTTTCTGGCAGACATCACAACTTTCGCAGTAACGCTTGATATTCTCCACTGCCCCTGGCCAGCTAAATTGTGACAGTTATGATGTTTTAAAATTTGGTTTTTAACTTTTTTTCAACACCCTAAAAGGTGCCATGTTTGAGAGGTTATATCTGTAAAAGTATATAACTTATTTTAATATGCGATCAAATAGTGGCTGGAAAAGGGCAAGGGTCATATTAAGAAATATTTTTGTCGAAATAATTATTTGTCTCTATAACCACTAGTGTACTTGAAAGTACATTTATTTAGAATGCCTCATTCGGTGTACTTATAGGTTATAAATATTTATTTATACTTAGCTAGTTCTACAATTACCGCGATATGGCAGGGGGCCATCCATTTGACTTTTGTGGACGCGTGTGAACTGGGGGGGGGGGGGGGGGGGGGTGGAAGGAGGGGTTCGGGTCAATGTTGACGTCCACATGTTCAATTGTAAAACAAAATACTTACATTTGAAAATAAATTAAAATAAACCGGGAGTGATCTCCCCTAAACTTTCTCGAATATTCTTTCATAAAAACAGGGGATGGGATCTCGGGATATAGACATGAATTTTAATTTATTTTAAATACTTAAACTTTTTAAAATAGAATAAAATCTCGTAGAAAAAAGAATTGCACACATGTGAACGCCAAATAAAACGTGTTAAATTAGTGTTAGCTGTAACGGTACTCAAGTTATCGTGTTTACAGACACACATACCGACATACGGACAAGATTGCAAAACTATGTTTTTCCAACTCAGGGAGGTGTAAAAATTTGTAAAAATCTCGATTTTTTTTTTTGCACGACTTTTTTTTACAAGACTTTTTCTATACTTCGTATAGGCCGACAAGACAAAAGGCCGACAGCCGACAGGACATAAAGCCGACAGCAAAAAGGCCGACAAACATAAAAATACTTATATCGCAAAATATTTAATACTTCATAGCTCCAACCTAGACAACCATCGAATTAAAGCATACAATGATTTAAAACGTTCAACACCTAAATATTGCGAAATGCCGTCACTACTGTCTTTTAATTTATAGCTCCTTCTATGTAAACTAGGTGAGACAACCATTAAAGAACCAAAATCAAAAGCCGCGGGCATCATCGCCCACACACAACGTGGTGGAACGCCAAGAGACAAAGCTAGTTGCTATCTTTATTATGTGGACAATGGGGATGACTAGAGTGTAAAAAAGGATAAATAGATAGGTGGCTTTACCACTATATTTCGCAAAAAGAATGAAAGAATCCATCTGTACATTACAATTACCTAAATGGGATTATAAGGACCCAAAACACGGTTGAGGAGTGGCACAGGAGGTGTTACGTAATCGTCACAAAATATCACTCTATAGTCTTTTGTTTGCTCAAAAAACTAAAAGAAGAACAAGGAAGAGTGGTAGTTGAGATGGAGGCAATATTGCTTGGTGAGTCATCAAAAAAAAAAACAACAACCAATATTTACAGAAAGAGGGCAGGATAGCAAATGTCATTGCAGAACGTGAAAACAGAAGTAGATTTGAATTTCTACGTGGCATAGCATGCAATTGATCATACTAGGTCCTATTTTTTTATGTAGTACTATAACTTTATCATTATATAACTGAGATTTGATAAAAATTAAACATGTCTGTAATTGTAGTTTGTCGGCCTTTTGTCCGTGTCGACCTTTTGTCCGGGGGGGGGGGGGGGGCAGAGAAAGGAACTTAAAAGGGACAACAAAGCGCCAATGCGCTTCTATCCACCAGTAACGAAGTTGGGATGGTCTCAACCACTTTTTACAGGCATTTATTTAACTCACTTCCTGGTCAGTCTGTCTGTCTAGATAGAAACGGCCGAGCGAAATTGCAGGCACTTCTAACTGACAGATACGGTTCGTAATTAGTACGTGGGTCAAGACATGAAGACAATGCATCATGACATTCAATTTGACTTAATTGGTCGCCTGATTAATTTTTTTTATGAATTAATTAAAAATGTAACCAAATTAGTAGACAGTTCTATCCGACTACTCCACACGCGTCATCACGTTTAATAGGCGTGCAATGTTTTTTAGTCATGTAACTCTATTGTAAATAAAACATGTAAAGTACTGAAAAAAAATTCATTAAAAAAACGTTTTAATAACAAGCTTTTATGTAATAATACACTTAAAAGTAAAAAAAAAAAATTATACACACTATTTAAATAACTATACAGAAAAGCGTGGGTCTCTTCTCAATCATTAGTAAAGGTATCCAATATGTACTAAAGTGACCCACGCTTTTCTTTATAGTTATTTAAATAGTAGTGTATAATTTAATTTATACTTTTGAGTGCATTATTACATAAAAGCTTGTTGTTAAAACGTTTTTTTATGATTTTTTTTTCTAAAGCCTTATTGTAAAAACATTCAAGGGAGAGAATTCAAATTATACACGTTTACTTTCACATATTTTGTAACACAAAAATAAGTAAACGTACATAAAACAGAAATTATTGTTAATATATTCTTTTTGATTATTTGTAGAATACAGGAGAGTACAGAATAGTAGCTCTACCAATACAAAAAACTTACATTTTACATTGTTATATCACAATGGATTGTGGGACCTTTTCTAACGGTATTAAGCAGCAAAAGTCGTCTCAATATCTAGCAGCCTTTCGCGCAATGGACTTAGATTTTTTTTTTCAAAAGAATTTTGCCAACAACAACGTGTGTTTGATCTTAGAGGAATCGGCTTCACAACGGTTTAAAAACAAAGGAAAAAGGATATACAAAAGCGTGGGATGATGTCTATAGAATAAAGATAATCCAACCACAGCTACAGTATCTATATATATAATTCTCTTCTTGGAGACGCTAGAAAACAAGCTGTCAGCGCGCTCCCTACCACCCCACCCCTACATGGTCTGGTGAGCTTTAGTTCACGCTAAATGTTTACAATTGTAGAGCCGGGTTTAGTGACGGCTATTAGGGGCAGATAATTTAGTTTGAAACGATTTTAAACTTAGGTAAATAAGAGGAGGCTGCTTTCACGGGGGGGGGGGGGGGGGTTGTAGGGTTGGGGGAAAGGAGTGTGGGGGTAGTATCGACCTTAACGACCTACTGATAGTGTTTTAAAGCAAATATTTTCAGTGGCAGCATTGGTACTGTCGAATTCACAAATTATGAATTACTGAAAAGTAGAAAATTAAACAACTAAATAGCGGCGTATGATATGTCGCGGGTCGGCTCGTTCTTTTTACAAAACAACCATCAAGTCAAAAATGCAAGAAAATTTTTATAAATTTCAACTCAATTTTTATTATTATGGTCGGCTGTGAGCCCCTAAATACGTGCCCCCCCCCCCCCCCCCCCCCACCCGGACAAGCAGTACCAAACACGTACTAGGGTCATAGTGAGGTCACAAGAGCCACCGTTGCTATAAAGCGGGGCGAGTTAGTCTAGTCATCATAGTCACCTTTTGCAATTACTGTAACATTAATTTGAGGTTGCGGAATTAAATAGAAGCAGATAGAAACTGTAGATCTGCGCAGCTTTAAAAACAGAGAGTAAGTTAAAATACCGGTAGATAAATTAAGTTATAGCTAGACTAACGGTAAAGAAACGAAGCTTGGGAGATTTACTTTTTTAAAGAGTGGCGACGTTTTATATTACTATTTTCCGTTATTTGGGATAAATATTTAACGGAAAATATCTGCAGAAAATTTGAACTAAAAGTGCTTTTCAGAAATCCGCAGAAATTCTGAACTTGCCCTACATTTAATCTTAATCTAGCACCGACTGACCTAACGCAATCGTCCAATTGAAATGAAATGTGTCTATTCGATTGTCTGTTTTAACTGATATCTGCACTGCTAGCCAAGCATAATACTCGATCTAAATAGGAATATGACTATGTGAAATGCGCATGTAGAAAGGTATGTTAAAATATAGCAGTACTATGAGAAAAGTAAATACTAAATATTGTCAACAATGTTCATTTATTAATACAAAATAATATACTTAGCATCCATGTTTTAAACTGTAAACTACGTTTCCAAACAGGGAAGTACACTGCCATGGGAGTTGCAGACTGTTGCTAAAAATTTAATAAGAACGTACAGAACACACAGAAGGAAAAATTTGAAAAAAAAAAACACATAAAAAATGTACATTCTAATATACAAAAAACTCTCTCAAAGTACTCAAAATTATGTAAACTGTATCAAAAATCCTTTTGTCGCCTTTCTGCTATTTAAAATTCTTCAAAAAAAGTTTCAAACCACTAAAAGTAAAGTAGCCTTTCCAACCTTATGGTCCATGGGACCGACAACGATTTTGGTAGCCTACACTCCACAGTGACAAAAAATTTGGAAACCCCTCATTGACTCAACAATTTAGTTTATTAATTACGTTTTAAAATCGCCTCATCTGTTTTTTGAATTTCTCAAAATGAAAGTCATCAGTTGCTTTTTCTTCAGTTGTCTTTTTCTTCTTTCCAGAAATGCTGGGCTCTGAATTAAAATTACAAAATATATTTTTAAAAGCAAGCTTACAATTTATGTTACCAATACAATAAAAATGTACAAATGCTTAAAACTGGTAAATTATTTTTTTTAAAGCTTCCTACCAGAAGAAAGTGTTTCCTTATTAATATCTCCTACTCTAACAGGTTCAGGTTTTGGTTCATCTACTTTTTTTACAAACTTTGGCTTGTTATCATCTATATTGACTGTAATAGAAAAAATCATAAGCATGTTTTACAAAGCTCACCAAGCCAACCTCAATGTTAACAACCACACCCTTTGCACAATGCCTAAAGAGATGACTCAAACTTTCAACTTCCATCTCTGCAAGTTACCACTATGTCAAAACATGTATAAATTATTACAGATTAAGATTTATTATTAAAAAGATTTCAATATATTCACACTAAATAAATTTGGTGTTTTTAATGCATATTGTAGATATACAGATATTAATTTCATATATTAATTTATTCACAAGCATTCAAACCCTGCTTGGTTTTTGTATAGAAAAGATATAAGACAAATGCTCTTTGATAACCAAACAGCACAAAATAATAAAAGGTTAAAGTCAAGCTCCTGTATTGTCAAACACAATTAGCAGTAATTTTTTAAAGGTGTAAATTGGGTATTCATTGGAAAACTTTTGGTTGCACCCAGAGCTTGAAAATTTATAAAAATAAATTTGAGATTTAAACTTATTAAATAACAACATAAGAAACTAAAATTTTACTTTTACTGAATTAATAGCCTGTCCATAACAATCCTGTTTTAAATAAAAACATAAGATGTAACAAAATACTCAGCATTTGATTTACTATAAAGTTTTTTTTTTGCTTACCCCAGGGGAACAATATCTCATTCTGTGATGATTGAGAGGGTTTCTTTTTTTTTTAAATGGCAATAAATATTAACATAACACATACATACTTACATCGATTATGCTGTACAAAATTTACTGCAACATTTGTTGGAACAAAGTCAGAAGGCATGTTATCACGCTGCCTTTTTCTCTCTTCTAGAAGTTTCTGTTTAGCTTCCTCTGTCAGTTCAATGTTTTTTATTTTTGCACTAAAAACAGAGATGTATTTGTTAACAAACATTTATAAGTAATTATGGTCTACGCACTTAAATAAGTAGATTTTAAAATAATTTTTTTATAAAAAAAAAAATCTTACTCTATGCCAAGATCAATCTCTGGGATACCTGAGAGCATCTGATTTGACAACATATCTTCTGACTTTTTTTCTGAAGAATACTTTTTTAGATGCTCTGGTAAATCATACAAGGAATCTGTTTGTGACTTTTGCCTACAAATGTAAAATATTGTATGTTAGTATGAATTGTCTTTTTTTACTATAGTTCAAACCTATTGAACAGTTAATAAATTCTAGTCTTTTAATATCATTAAAAATCTGTTATTGCCTAATACAAACATATGCTGTTTTCAAAACTACCCTCATATTTGACCCACAAATTTATAACATTCATAATAATATTATAGTTTTATAGTAATTTTAATACAACAGTAAACAGCTGTACTCACTGAAATATAAGGTATAATGTAATGCTATCAATAATATTAATAACCGATGGGTAAAAAAGCGTATTTTACTTGTTACTAAGAGATTCTTCTTGTTTATGATGTCCTTTGCGTCTTGCAAGTTCTTCTTCAACGTATTTCAACCTGTTTATATATAGAAATGAGTAAATATGTGTATACATATATATATATATATATATATATATATATATATATATATATATATATATATATATATACACACACTCATTGCTGGCCTGTTCGGGGTTTTTTTTTTTTAAATGTTTTTTTTTTAATTAAAACAAGTTAAAACATTATGTCATGTGTGTAAGTCACCAAAAATTTTTTGAATTAATTAAAATTTGGACCGAATTAGTAGGCATGTTTATCCAACCACACCACACGCGTCATCACGTTCAATAGCTGCGCCATCACGTTCAATGGCTGCGTCATCACGTTCAGTAGCTAGGCGCGCAATGGTTTTTAGTCATGTAACTCTATTGTAAATAAAACATGTAAAATACTGAAAAAAAATTTAATAAAAAACGTTTTAATAACTAACCAATGGTTTTACTAACCCTGCTCTTGATTTACGCTACGACAGAGCTATTTTTAGATAACATAAGGAAATTGCGCTAAAATTGTCACTAGACTTTTTAATTACCTTGTTATACAATGTCGTACTTTAGCAAGTAGGCTACTTTATTAAAAAATAATAATTAAGATAAGTAATTGCTTTTTAATTTGTTTAGTACAAATCTATTAAAAGGAGCTTATGAGCACCCCTATTCGACTATTTAAAAAGGGAAATAAGTCATGAAAGTGGTTTGAACGTTTTTTTATCTTTGATTAGTTTGATTGTAGGAGAAAGAGGACTCGGCTTTCACAATGGTTTAAAAACAAAGGGAAAAAGAATATACACGAGCATGGGATGGTGTCTATAAAATAAAGATCATCCAACCGCAGCTACGGAAAACTTTTTTTACAAAACAACCATCAAGTCAAAAATGCGAGAAAATTTTTAAAACATTTAACTATAACATTTTTTTATTATGGTCAGCTGTGGGCCCCTAAATGGCGTGCCCCCCCCCCCCCCCGCGCATTGCAGGTCTGGCGGCACTGTAGTTCCGCCCCTGTATATGTGATATACCTTTTTCTTTAATTGTTTTCCTTGAAAGAACACAGATAACTATGAAACAGTAAGACCTTGTTATATATAATAGAGTAAGCCTTAATAAAGGTAAAAGAAACAGAAAAATAGATCAGTGCTCAAAATTAATGTTCATTAATTTACTAAAGTTAAAGTTTTTAATTTTGATGTAATTATTATTAGTAATTATTCTAATCATTTTTCTAGTTTAGATTTTCAGTTCAAAAGAGATACTGCCAATTATTAGAAGCTTAAAGTATATTAATTGAATGTTATGGAATGACAAAACTCAAAACTTACATTTCAGCATCTTCATCTCGTCTATTTGTTTCTGCTGCAAATGCTGTTCCAATAGCTTCAACTTCTTCCCCCTTAAGAGATCTGATTAGGTGAAATAAATGTATTAAAAATATTTGTAATTAGGGTCCACCTCATAAAAATTCTAGAGCAAATGCTTACTTTTTTTTCAAAGCTTTCATATCAACAATTCCTCCAGTTTTCATTTTGAATGGGTCAGCCTGTAAAATAAAGATAAAATATGGTAAAGGAATGAGACACTTTGCCCTGAATTACTGAATTAGTATAAATTAAACGAAAATGTAAAATATAGTTATACACTAAGTACATATTTTTAACAATGTCAAATAAACAAAAAACCTACATCCGAAACTTCTTCGGTTTTTGGTATTTTTTTCCCTAATGCTAAACTTGCTGCACTGACTCCATGTTGATATGATCGCATCTTTTGTAGACTACGCAATGCTTCCATTTTCTCCCTAAAAGATGTAGTTTAATACTCATTAGCTCTGATTAGGATCAACAGTGGTGTGAGTTTTGATAAAGTTTGAAGCATTAATGTTATTGGAATGATTTAAATATAAACAGAAAGATCTAGATACTTAATAAATAAATTCTAATCTTAAGCATATAATATTTTAAAATGTTTAGTATGGAGGTGAAGTAATTATATAACAATGTAAACTGTTACAGTGGTAATTATTCTGATCAAGAAGCAAATCACAACCTGCGTTTTATAAACATATAACAACAGTAATAGTATTTACTTTCAAAATTTATAAGAAATTATTATATAATAATTTACAATGCTAAATTATGTTTTTCTTCTACCACAGCGTTTACATTAATGACACATGTCTTGAACACACAGCCCGCCAAAATTTATTATTTTCTGCAAACATTTTCTCCACATAACATGTATACTTTAGTGTTCACACTTAACAGAACATGTTTTAGAATATTTTAGAAAACAAACATGACCTTTGGCAATCGGATGAATAGTGTAGTAATGCTTAAAAGACAAACCCACAAACACTTTCATTTTTATAAATATAGATATAGATCTATAGATAACAAAGGTGTATAGTTATAGAATGGTGGGTGGTCTTACATTATTAGATTTTTTTTCTTGGTTCAGTTATTCTTTTTTACTTTCATATTCCTATTACCTAAATTCTCTGGTACCAATCTGTGCAAAGTTTTATAACTTTAACTTGAATAAATACTAAATAAAAATTCATACAAAAAACTACAGGGTGTAGAATGATTATTTAAAATTAGGGCAATTCAAATTTTCACAATATGTCTATCTATAATATGTACTAGGATTCATGTTAAATTATTGTGTCATATTTTCATTAAAAAATTATTTAGTTTAAGTTTAGTTTAGCCTTGAGGTTCATATCACAATTTTCCCAATTTTTTTTTTCTCTTAGCAAAAATCTAAGCGACAGGTCTTTTTTTTCTTTTTTGCAGATATGCCAGTAGTCATGTCACAAACGAAAAGAAAATTTTAACAAAAGTAACTCTTTCATGAATAATGGGAAAAAAATAAAATAATGATTATAGGGGATCCTAAAATAAGTGTCAAAACAAAGAAGACATCTGATGGGTTTGAAACCACACCTTCCAGTACAACAGCCACTCACATGTCCACTAGACAAACATTTAAATGAATAAAAAACAACCATGACTGTGAATAGCCCTAATACAGCTATCTATTCCCAGTCGACTGGGAATAGAATAGACACTTCAATTTCCAAATGTAAAATGTTACATTTGTCGACAAAGACTAGAGGGATAGGGGGCCCTAAATTCCCAGGGCCCTTATGCCTTGCTTATGCAGTTAAGCAGAAGTGACGTCGCTGATTTTACTGCCTCACCATTTCGCATTTTATTATAACTATTATTTAACTAGGAGTGCCATTACCCATACCATATAAAGTAGATTATAATTATAAAGCCAACAACTATGCCAACAAGTTGCGCAACATTGCCGCACAGCATTGAACATTGATCATATTGCGATGGCACACTAAATTACTAAAAATAGTTAATAATACTTTAATATTAATAGTACTAGTAGTCTAGTAAAATAAATAATAAATTTCAGTCGGTTAATAAATGGAAGCGAGCGAGTTGATGACAATCCTTCCATAATGTTGACATGGAAGAAAAACGTGCTTTTTTAGATTTAGCAAACAAAGCGACCGTAAAAATAATAAAAAATAAAAACTTAAGCCTAAAATTAATTCAGAAATTTTATATTTTTAGAATCAATGCTATAAAAGTTGCGAATCCAGAGAACTTAAGTTATAACCGGATGTTTCAAATATTGATTGGCTGTACAGGAACTCCTTGATCGATAACTATTTGTTTACAAAACTTTGTAGATAAAGTTTCTAGGGGCCTAAATAACAATTCAAATTTAAACCGCATGACCTAGTTTTCTTTTTTTTTTCGCTTACAATGTGTACAATAAAATTTATGGCAGCCTATCGAAAAGCAGGATGCCATTGTTTATGTTGCCATTACATGTGAAAACCAAATTGTTTTTGCATTTTTTTTTTATTTAGTTACCAAAAATATTAAAAACATCAAATATATCCAATCTTTAGTAAAGTCCGAAAAAACCAGACAGACAGGATTTTATATTTATAACCATATTATTAATTGTAACTACGCAGTACATGATTTTTTAATTAATTAATGGGCCTCTCGAATACCTTCCCGCTCGCATCCATTGCGCTAAATAAAATAGAGTTTTACCCTATAGCCATATATAGATCAGGGTTCGGCAACCTTTTGAGACGGAAGAGCCAAAAGTTACAACCTTTTGAGACGGAAGAGCCAAAAGTTACAATCTGCAAAATTTCCCTATTTTTAAAGAGCCACTAACATTTCATGTGCAATTCGGTAAAGCATGTAACTGTTTCATATAATTTGTAATCGTAATCACTATAGTACAAACTGTAAGAATACTACTACTTCATCGTAATGACGTTGTTGACCTTGTCAAAATTTCCCCACCACTACGCAGTTTGCTCATAAGTAAATTTAAATAGAGGTGCCACATCAGTTGTATTTGTTTCTGTATTGTAATTTTTTTAAATTAATCACATGATTCAAACTGTATATATAAAATAATTATGTGTGAAGTTTTATGTATAACATTTTCTAATTCAATTATTCGTAAGCAAATACATTGTACAGTTGCCTTAAACTTAACACCCCTCTTGCCAAGTGGTACTATCGTAGAGGTTTTTTTAAACATTGCAATGCATCGTAATGGTTATTTTTAGAATGGCAAACTGATGCAGCTGTTAATACATGTTGTAAACGTAGACACTACTAGACTAGTACAATAATGCTTAATTGCTGCATGAAAAGAAATCTTGTGATTTACATGGATGTGCGACCAAAAATATTTTTTTAACAAATATCATTGTTTAAAACTTTGAGTTTGAAAAGTTTCCAAAAAGGCGCCACTTTGCGTACGCTACTGGGCTGGGCCTAATGCCTAGCTGCTGTCAGCCAGTGTTTCTTCTATGCATCTATTCAGCACCACCACCCCCCCCCCCCCCCCCCCCCGGAACCGGAGAAAAAAGTCTGGAAGAAACACTGCTGACAGCTGTCCATGTACACTCTACTCCATCTCTTCTCGTTTTATAGTTGGTTTTTTTTTTTTTTAAATATATAATATTTAAAATTTTTAGTTTTGAAAATAATAAATTTATATATTATATTATTTTATAGGCCTAATAATACATAATTATAATATTATATTATGGAACTGGAGAGCCGCATTGACATCAATGATCAAAAGAAGGTTGCCGACCCCTGATATAGATCAATTGGTAATCTATCATTTTAGCGTTATCAATTCGGCCGTCGCTAGTTATGTAGGGATAAAGTAACTAATAAATATGGCTTAAATATGAATATATTTTTGCATATTCTCCTTAAATTCTAAAGATAATTGAATATTAAACCACATTTAAGGGTCAAATCAATAAAAATGTCATGAAATTAAGGTTTAACAATGATGTTCCAGATACTAAATTTGCTATTAAAAACAGCGGCCATCTTAAGAAAATATTTTGAGTCATTTCCCTTTAGTTTCTATTTGTATAGAAATGTATTGATGTTTGCAATTAAATACGATTGTCTTGTGTTTAAATACAAAGCATGTGTTTTTTTTAAAAATCTGCCCTTTAAACAATTTAATTGACTGACAATAAAAAGAATTTAAGATAAGAAGACGGCCCTCTGTCCTACTTATATTAAACAAGACAGCTATGTATATATTATTAAACAACAAAGTCAACACAATATACATACGAATAGACATTTTTATCAAGGGAAACTACTCTAAATTTTATTTGGAAAGATGGCGGCTGTTTTTATCTACTAATATTTATCTCAAACACGTTGTTTAAAGTTAGTTTCATGATATTTTAAATTTTTTTGGTCACTGACTGATTGTTATTTTAAATCAATAATCTATTATATTTCGTAAAAATCTAACTTAAATAATAAAATATAGGCCTACCTACTTATTAAACAAATAATATATTCATCAGTGGTAAACCTCCATTTTAGCGTATTTAGCCGTATTTTATTCCCCGCTTCATGTTCACCTCCAGTTGAGCGTATTTTATTATAAACAACCAAAAACACAAAGAAAACATTGATTTAACATTGGGCTTATTTTTTTATGAAGTTTTGATTTATTTTGATAATTTACTTTCGTCAAAACTTGAGAAAAATCCAAATTTGGAATATTGAATGCTATAAATATTAAATATTAAATAAACTTATATTTATATGAACTCACGATGACCCCAAAACTGAGGCCAACACCATTTCAAATAGCTATTGCCCAAGCTAGATCTATGACGTATGCTAATAATTAAAGTCAATGTGAACTCACGTTGAACTCTTAACCATGTAGGGATTTTTCTCCCGCTGACGCTCACACGCTATTTAATTGGAACTGTCCTAATGCTTTTTTATGTTTTTTTTTTTTTACCTTTTCTTATTAAAACTCACATTCATATAAAAAAAATCTACCTCTAATCCTAGTGTTTTGCTAACGTTTTTGTGTGTTTTGGTTGTGTTTATAATAAAATACGCTCAACCGTAGGTGAACGTGAAGCGGCGAAGAAAATACGCTAAAATGGAGTTTTACCTTCATCAGTGACAGTGACAGAGTTTAGTTACCTCTCCCGCACATTATTACTGCAGCCGAATTGATTACGCTAAAACGATAGATCACCAATCAATTGACATCTAGATTCTAGCTCTAGTTTAACTACCTGGTATCTTCGTCGTCTTCAGAAGCACTGCTACTACTTGAAGAAACGGTTGCATTTCTTAAGTTTCGTTTTCGTTTTGTTGGTGCGGAAGACATCTTTTAGCACTCTTTACTCCTTAAGGATATTTTTGTCAAGTGCTATTTTTATACTGGCAGGACTGTACTAAGATCTGGATCCAAAATCATAGTCATAGTACAGTGGTTCTCAACTTAGTTTCGATCAAAATTCAGGGGGGTTCGGTGAGCCAGTCTCAGAGGTTCGGCGGAGATCGAGACACAGCCCCGATTCATATAATCTAAGATCGACCAAGGATAGATCTAGAATCTAGATATAGTTCAAATAGCCAGAGCAAGATAATTCGAATCGGTATCGACTATATATAGTGATAATGATATTTCTTACTTTCGCAGCCCATGACGTCACGACACACATACCTGCGTCACGAATCTTGTCAACGCAACGTATGCAAGCGCGCGTTAATTGTGTATCTATACTAAACGACACGAGAAAAATGGCCCGTTGAGGAAGGATACACCGGGCGCTAGGCTGATAGTGCTGTCTCTTTTCTCTAAACTAAAACCACCCCCCCCACACCCCCCACCCACCCCACACCCCTACACACACCACCCCCCACCCACACACACACCACCCCCACCCCCCCCACCACCCACACCCCAAAAAACATGTATACCGTCCCATTCAACGAAATATAATTATATACTTTTTCCAGTGTCCGCCCCCTCCCCGAAAATTCTACCCCCCGCCCCCGAAAATTTCAAGTACCCCACCCCTCTCCGGGGAGGAAAAAGTCTAAACTAAAACCACCCCACCCCCCACACACACCACCCCCCACCCCCCCTACCCCCCCACCCCCCCCCCCTACCCCCCCCCACCCCCCCCCCCCCCCCCCAAAAAAAAACACATGTCTACCGTCCCATTCAACGAAATATAATTATATACTTTTTCCAGTGTCCGCCCCCTCCCTGAAAATTCTACCCCCGCCACCGAAAATTTCAAGTACCCCCACCCCTCTCCGGGGAGGGAAAAGTCTAAATTAAAACCACCCCACCCCCCCCCCCCACACACCCCCCCCCCACCCCCCTAAAAAAACATGTCTACCGTCCCATTCAACGAAATATAATTATATACTTTTTCCAGTGTCCGCCCCCTCCCCGAAAATTCTACCCCCGCCCCCGAAAATTTCAAGTACCCTCACCCCTCTCCGTGGAGGAAAAAGTCTGAAAGAAACACTGGTGTCGCGCATAGCCACTACGCGAAGAATTGCATTAAAGAAATTGCAAGAAAACCACTTTTTAGATTAGACACATTAATTAGGCGGTAATTTTATTATAGAGTATCGATGAAGAAATTTCTTTTGAGTTGGGGAGGGGGGGGGCTCAGACGTTCTTACGCGGGGGTGGGGCTTCGCCCCTACCCGAAGAATTGTACGAAAGAAACTCTTCACGCAAACCACTTAGATTAGACCAAATTGCTTTTGTATTGAATGTTTACTCGATAATCAATGACGTCATATAAATGTGTGCACTATCCGGCTTGAGATTATTTTCTACTCTGTGCTTAATGTGTCGACGTCATACTTCGTTTTTCGAATTACTATGCATGTTTTTAAATTGCTTGTGTTTTCTCTAGAGCGTTCTTGTCAGACAGATAGATAGATAGATAGATAGATAGATAGATAGATAGATAGATAGATAGATAGATAGATAGATAGATAGATAGATAGATAGATAGATAGATAGATAGATAGATAGATAGATAGATAGATGGATGGATGGATGGATGGATGGATGGATGGATGGATGGATGGATGGATGGATGGATGGATGGATGGATGGATGGATGGATGGATGGATGGATGGATGGATGGATGGATGGATGGATGGATGGATGGATGGATGGATGGATGGATAGATAGATAGATAGATAGATAGATAGATAGATAGATAGATAGATAGATAGATAGATAGATAGATAGATAGATAGATAGATAGATAGATAGATAGATAGATAGATAGATAGATAGATAGATAGATAGATAGATAGATAGATAGATAGATAGATAGATAGATAGATAGATAGATAGATAGATAGATAGATAGATAGATAGATAGATAGATAGATAGATAGATAGATAGATAGATAGATAGATAGATAGATAGATAGATAGATAGATAGATAGATAGATAGATAGATAGATAGATAGATAGATAGATAGATAGATAGATAGATAGATAGATAGATAGATAGATAGATAGATAGATAGATAGATAGATAGATAGATAGATAGATAGATAGATAGATAGATAGATAGATAGATAGATAGATAGATAGATAGATAGATAGATAGATAGATAGATAGATAGATAGATAGATAGATAGATAGATAGATAGATAGATAGATAGATAGATAGATAGATAGATAGATAGATAGATAGATAGATAGATAGATAGATAGATAGATAGATAGATAGATAGATAGATAGATAGATAGATAGATAGATAGATAGATAGATAGATAGATAGATAGATAGATAGATAGATAGATAGATAGATAGATAGATAGATAGATAGATAGATAGATAGATAGATAGATAGATAGATAGATAGATAGATAGATAGATAGATAGATAGATAGATAGATAGATAGATAGATAGATAGATAGATAGATAGATAGATAGATAGATAGATAGATAGATAGATAGATAGATAGATAGATAGATAGATAGATAGATAGATAGATAGATAGATAGATAGATAGATAGATAGATAGATAGATAGATAGATAGATAGATAGATAGATAGATAGATAGATAGATAGATAGATAGATAGATAGATAGACAGACAGCGAAACTATTATATAGAATTATACATGCTGTGACGAACTTACTTTTTATATCTAGATCGATATCGTTTGTGACTGTCGTGATGGTACGTCGTGTGATTTCTGTGTTAAAAATATTTCAATCCCTTTTAATATAACTTTTATACTGATACTATGTCGAGCAAAATAAATACAAATGGTCGGACGAATAAGTACGATATGGATTTACATGTATAACGGAATTCGATCAGAGTCAGCTTCCTCATTGAATGATTTGTATTGTCAAGGGGTCGTCCATAAATGACGTCACACTCATAGGGGTGAGGAGGGTCTGTAATTTTGTGACGGTGTGTGATGAGGGGAGGGGGTCCAGAGGGTGTGACGTCACACTTTTGCGTTATAAAACAGCACTGTTATAAAACGAATTTTAGCAGTTTTTCTCGCGTTTTAGAAAACTGTTTTAATAAATTGAAATGGGAATTGATTAAAATATAGAGTTTAGACAAGATTTGGGAAAAAAATATCGTATTTTAAGAAAAATTCAACTGCAATTTGAGGGGGATTGTAGGCTGAGGTGTGACGTCATTTTAGGGGGTCTGGCTTTTGTGATGTTGTGTGAAGGAGGGGGGGGGAGGTAAAAATCGTCCCAAAAAAGTGTGACGTCATTTGACGTCAAATGATGACCTCTAAGTTGTCGAAGTTGAGCAGTTCTGGTCTAGCCCTGGTTGCATGGAGATGGAAAATATAAAAACACAACGCTCGCTGAATTCCGTGAGAAGCCAAGCATTTCTGAACTTGAGGCTGAAAGGCAACAGCAGCAATCACAATGATTTGCAGTAAATATTCATTATCTTTTTATTCATTATCTGTGGAAATGATATTTTAATGGTTTTGTTATTTGAATACAGTGGTGATGCACGATTAATTTTGTGCACCAGTAAAATATGTAGATCTACCCATGTTTTGAATTTGGAAAAAAATCATATTTTATTTTTCCTATTAAGGTTTCAACTAAGTATTATATCATGTTTAGAGCAAACATTATTACAATATCTTGTGTTATGGTTTAACCTTCAGCTTTGGTATTTGTAACTATTACTTTAATCTTCTATAGTGTTGAAATAAAACAGTACTACATCTATATCTGTCATAGCTGTAAAACATAATGGAAGAATAGAAAATACGGACTTTCGTCAATTTTAGCCATACTAGCATATAAATATGGACCAAGCTGACAGAAGCATGGCTGATAACTAACCATCAACCACAACAGCAAACTACAATCACTGCCTGATACCTGGTAGTGTGTTGCTTATGGCCGTGCGAGTTTCTGAACATTTTGTAATTGTTTATTTATTACAAAATAAACACACTGTTGCTAATCAGATGCATTCCAGATATTTGAGGAAAATATGTTTTCTATAAGGATAGGCAGCTATAGAAAATGAGGTATGGGGAAATGTTAAGATAATATTAATTGTAATGACAGAGATGCCAATAAAACAACAGATGTAATTGGGCTTGTAATAGATTGACGATAGAAGCATGTGATTGTATATAAAACGTTTATTGGCCTCCAACTACATGATGGTAACGAGAGAGGGCGGAAGTGACGAGACACAAAGATATATATAAACATATAAGGGACATCACTCAAGATAACAGTATAAATATAATACTAATACAAGAAGAGTGAGTTCCCTTGACTTCACAAGTCTCACTATATTACATCCCTTTACCCTTAGTAAACACAACGCATCTCTCAATAGAACAATTTACAGTATCCTAAAATCACCAATTATATTGTAACATGAACACTATGGTAGATTACATCCTTACAAACAATGCACGATATGTTACAACATAATTAAAATACAAAACAATGATGTCAAAGTCCTTTTGACCTTTAAAATCATAGGTCTAACTTATTTGGGACTTTGATTGTCCTGCTTGACCTTCTCAGTGGCTTTTGATTTGGTGACTCAAGATTCTGACCATATGGATTCTCTATCTCAGGAGGTCTAGGATCTAAATCATTAATTCCAGAATTTACATTTTTCTGACTCCAGACTACTTGGTTCACTCATATCAACAGAACTTGGTTGTGGAACAAACTGAGTTGGTGTGAACTGTTCAGATTTGGTGGGATTGACAGATTCACACTTATTATCTGCACAAGTTATTTTTAACTGGTCTGCATGTCTACGGGCAATAAGTCCATCATTTGTTTTTACTTTATAAGACACAGGTCCTGTACATTGAACAATTTGACCTGGCATCCATTT